CAACTCTTCTTCTGCTGCCTAAAATTTACAAAAAGAAAAAGGTGTCAAACAGGTGTCTGGGATAAAAGGGATCTGGGATCTGGGATCTGGGATCTGGAATAAAGAAAAGCTGCATGTAATTCCAAAGGTAAGATTTGAACCCTACTCAGTCCCAAGTCAAATTCTTCATTAGTAATTGAGCCAAAAAAATAGCCAGTAGGCTTAACCATATAGCCTGAGGAACTATCTTTTAAACTGTTTATTCCTACTAACCCTCTAGGTTCTATTAGCTACAATTATTTACTGGGTACATAAAAAATTATCCTAGCCATGATAATGAACTGTGCGTGAAATTGACCTACTGCTTCAAGTACTATATGCATATTGAAAAGGTTTCACTACATCCTTCATTAGAATCTTTATGAATTATAATTATTGAGTATTAATAAGTATATTTTCATAAAATATTCATCCTCAGTTTAAAAATTTGAGGTATTAAGGTTCAAAGCTAATTTTCTTCTAAAAGTAACAAAACTAATCATTTATGTTTACCGCTTGAGCTTCCATCCGTTGAAAGATGACACTTATCATTTGACTAAGAGTGGCCTGAGCAGTTCTTTGGTTTGTAAGATTACGACTGGCCAGGTAAATATTGTAACAAGTCCTCACAGCTAGCAAGAGGGTGCCCTCGTGAACTTCACAAGAGTTTGATGTGACAGCAGTAAGTAAAGCCTACAAGCAAAATACATAGCAGACAGTTTCATATTAAAACAAAGTGTACAATACTTGTACAATGACTTAGACTGTTTCATTAGTCAAAGGTCTTTCAAATTTAGTGACCTGTTACCACTAGAACTCATCTTACTCTCCATGGCAAGAAGTGACAATACACCATGAAACTATTCCAAATAAATAATCTACCAGCAAGCTGATCAGCTTAGCTCCTCACAGTCATTTCCCTGATAGGCAGTGAGTATAAAAACTTTGCTTAGAAATAGCACTTTGACTTCAGAATACATATATCTTGGATTGTATTTTCACTATGAAGACAAACTACACTCTTTATTTTAGTTTCACCTTTATTATCTGAGTGGAGGCGCAGTGGCCTCATGGTTAGTGCGCTCGACTCCGGATAGAGTGGTCCGGGTTCGAGCCCCGGCCGGGACATTGTGTTGTGTTCTTAGGCAAGACCAACAAATTTAATGCTGGGGGTAACCCTGTGATGGACTGGCATCCCATCCAGGGGAGAGTAGAAATACTCCTAGTTGCTTCATGCTACAGAAACCAGAGTTAAGCAGCGGCCTAATGGGCCACTAGGCTTGTAAACAGACTTTACGTTACCTTTATTATCTGAAGCTGAACTCCTTCATCAGTTGCGACTCCAATAAAACAGCCACAGATTGTCTCCACTATACGGTCCAGAAGCTTTTTGTTAGGATCAGTACTGTCTGGAATGTCACCAGCGAGATGTCCATAGGCAATGAGTTTCTAATCAAAGCATAGATTAAGAATAAAAAAAATATTGTTTTTTAATAATATATCCTTGAAAATTTATGGACAAATGCAGCTGATTACAAGGTGTTGATACACTCACTGTAAAGGGGAAAAGATGCAGGAACAATTTGCTTTACATGACAAAGTAACTCAGTCTATGAAAATTATTTTGCTTGTGACAAAATTTCCTCCCTGTAACAAGTGCCAGAGTCAACTTGAAATCCTTTTAACTTGTGTCATGATTGTTGCAATAAAATGATTTGTAGCAGCATACAGGCAAAGTAAAGTACATACTCTACAAGTAAATGACCAAGTATAAGTACAGTAATACCTGTAGACAGTCAAGAGATGCAACTATAATGCGAGGACACTTTGATTTACAAGCAAGTTCAAATGGTAAGAAATATTTATCTGCTTCAATGAAAGGTTGCTTTCCTTTGGGAGGAGGTAAGGCTGACGATGGACTCCCATCACTAAGAAAACAAATAAAAAATTGTGCTTATTAATATATGGTATATCTCCAATAACTGTTCTGTTTGAATGGGTGTCCCTCCTAATGGTAAAAGCAAGAGGCAGAGTGGTCAAATTATCACTGCAATAGACTCCAGCTTGAAATACTCAGGTTTTGGCCAGGAGTCATATTATCACCTAATATATCTTGTTGTACACTGGTTGAACTCTTAATGTGATAACGTTCTTGTGATGTTTTCATTATTTTGTACAAACCAATGCAGCTCTTGTATAACTTCTTTTTACTTTTCCACAAAGAGTACAACTTTCAGTAGTCATAAAGATGAGAAGAAACAATTCATAATCTTAAAGTTTCTGGAAGTATTTTTGTGATTGGTGATTATCACAAAATTACAATATATTTTTAAAAATTTTAAAAATTGTATGGCCAATATAGGATTAATACAGCAGTGGCTTCGAACTTTTATATTCACATCACTGCTCTCTGGACAACTTATTGGCATTTCAAAGAAGAATGCTTGGTTCCTTGCTGAAAAGTTATTAGTTTGTTTTTTTCAGAACAACACAAAAAGCTTACCTTTCATCAGCTATAACAGCTCCTTGAGATTTGTGAATCTCTTCTAAAAGTGAACATACATTTGCTTTCAATATCAAGTCTGGTTTATCAACACCACAAAAAATCAATATCAATGGCATAAATATCTCTATAAATATTAGAAATGTTGTATCCAGTTGCACTTTTCTTTAGAAAACCATCTTTATTACCTGTTAATGTACAGAGATCTAACTATGTACAAACATAGTTAGATCTCTGATAATGACCATTCTGGCTGTTCTATTTCTTTACACTAGACCTTGCCATAAAGAAAGCAATTTGTCTACAAAGGGACGAAAAACCATCTAGTGCTAATTCCATCAATATATACCTTCCTACGTTGCTAAGTTTATACACAACCCTATAGGAAAAAACACTCAGAACAAAATTTTTAACACACCATTGTTAAATTAGTGTTAAGATTCAAGATATTTAGCTGTTTCTGTCATTTATTCTCTCAGTTCATAATCATGAGTATAATGATTTTCTTTCATAGCTTGCATGCCTATCTTTCTGGCCATACAGATAAATTAACACAACAGCAGTGAGCTGAACTTTGTTTGCTTTAATATTGATGACAAGTACATTTCAAACAGCAATGATAGGTAGCCTATACGATATTGATCACTTTCACTTCAGTCTGCATTTTTGGAGATTCAGCCTCCCCATTAAAAGTAATTTATTTTTTAAATTTTCTTGCATGAAAATCAGCTGCAAATTTAGGCGGACTAAATTAATTTGAGTTAAACATGTCCTTTTCTAGAACCAAGAACGATCGGAGCGTGACGAGAAATTCATCTTCTTAACATAAAATGAACGTCGATCAACCAAAGGATGATAAAATCGTTCTTATCACGTTTCACGAGAAAATGTCAGTTTATTACTGATTTCAAGGCAGATCTCTCTTTAAGAAGAAAATTATTTGGTACAAGAAAATTCAATTCCAGATGTAGCAGCCGCTATTCACACCTGTTTTCGAAAGAAGAATTTCTTGCATTTAAATTTGACCACACACAAGATGTTTGAACATAAGTGTAGTAAACCTGTTCCACAGACAAAGTTACGTCGGATCTACGAAGTAAGCCTCGCCCTGTAACAAAACTTTGCAATTAGACAGCTTTTGCACCTTTAATTCCTTACCTAACGCAACCTCACACGCTTTTTTAAGCTGCTGGTGATAGGATTTTTTCGTCTCCTTGTCGTTTAGTATCTTCTCTAGAGCCCGTGTCAGGAACATATTTTGAGTCTTGGCGTTCTCGTACATAATGTGATTTTAGAACTTCCCCTGGAGGCAATACTCTGTCTCTTAGTATTTGTCAAAACAGTAAAACAACCATAGCTTTTTGGAAACAAACAAAACAAGTTGGAATCAAGTCATCTCAGCCGCCATTTTGTTCTTAGATTTGTAGTCACGTGAGAGGTCGTGGCTGACGTAGAAGTCCCAGTCTTTCACGGAAGTCGTGAACACGCAAATGCTGTAACGTGTCAGGAGTACACCGTTAGAATCTTGGATCGCAGGATAGGACGCGCCAGGTTCAGAATAATGTCATCGACAATGCCACGGAAGAGCTTTCCTGACAGATTTTTAGCGTCATGTCTAGCGGCAAGATTACGCATCCTGACCTGAATCAGTCAGATATGCCAGAAATCATTTACAGCGACTATCTTGTTTCTAAAACGTAAAGGTGGTTTGAATGATTCTGAAGGATAGTGCGAGACCAGTGTTACGTTACATTCACGTTGTTTGCAACAAAATAACAACATTTCTCATCAAACGAGCGAGGAGCGAATCCAATCTCAGCCATCTTCATTAAGGAAGAAAACCATTCTACTTCATAAGGTTTTAACCAAATTACTGGCTGGACAGCCACTTATCAAACTTACGTTACCAAAGTTATTTTAAGTTTTACTTGTCTTCATTACACCGTTAGGTCTGTTCTTTGTTTTGTTCTTGCTTTTTTTTTTTTTTTTGTCTTAATAAATTGAAATTTGTTTGTTTTTATTCGGACAGTAGTCATACTCTATATCGTTTCCTTTTCACCTCGACATGTTTACGACTTTGATTGGGGTCACGCATAAGGCAATTGATTGAGGATGACGACGGCCTGATTGTATGGGAATCAAACTAGATACATGAATGATACAAGTTCCTTGGAAAATGAAAATCGTACGAGACCATTTTCTCTTACCAAGTAAAAGGGAGAAATTACAGAAGATTACAAGAATACTGTATAAACAAAAATAAAACTGTGAAAGTGATCCTCGCAGTAATAAACCCTCCTAATGTAGTAGTGGAGATAAGGCCTGAAAAAAAATTTTTTTGAGGCCTTATTTCCATTACCACATAGGTAGGGTTTATTACTGCGAGGATTACTTTCATACGTTTCATGAAACCGCAGGACACATATATGACTTTCATATGTTTAAAATTCATTGAAAAATAAAACTTTAATATTCACATTTGTTCCCTTATTATACACATTTGATAGGTTTAAATAAATTAAGATGAGAAAAAATATAGAAATTATGTGCTTTTAAGACTCTAAACATTCACTAAACATTCACGCAACTGAGATCACACTGTTACATTTAAAACAAACTGGTCAGTTTTCTTAATGAATTACAAGAGCATTTCTGGCCGCCATTTATAGCCTGGTCAGTTCTCGTGTAGGCAGCAATATACTGCTCAGTCGGTTTCATCTGATAATTGGTAATTGTTGTGTCTAGTATTTTTCAGCCAGGAATTGTTGGGTTGATTTGTTGGTTATCATTCATGTTTTTGCTACAGGAGCGAATTGAAAACGTTTTGATTCGTTTGTAGGAACCTGCGAAACTACCTTGAACTTGAAGTAGGACACAAAGTATTAGCTCCGTGAGAAGGAAAACTCCGAAAGACTACAAAATAACCCAATAGGGAGTAGAGATGAGTGATGAAGGAGAAATCAAAAGGTACTGTAAAAGAAACACGTGAAAAAAAGGAAGGAAGAATTTACTCAGGATACGCAAAACCAAATTTCGTCTGAAGTAGCGAGCGTAAAAACACTATCGTTGACCACGGAGTCTTGCGTTCTTTTTCAGGCTGGATGCAATGACCCTTTCAAGTTTATCATAAATTTCTTGTAATTTACCAGTATAATGGCTGGCAGGTTTGACTGGGCGTGGTCGGCTTTTAAGTTGCTTCTTTCTCTTCGTTGTTGCTGTTGCTGTAGCTGCTGTAGTTATTGTTGAAGCATTTGATTTTATTTCTGTTCTAATCATGCCTTGATCTTCTGCATTTAATGGTTCGTGTGTTTTTGTTACCAATTGAGGTGGTAAGGTCTCTATATCATTCTGCATTTTATTGTTTGTAGTATCAATTCCTGGAGCGGCGTTGTTGCTAAGATGCCACTGATTCCTGTTGCTAGGGTACCACGTATCTTTATCGCTCCCCAATTCATAACTTTCATCATAGGGTGTAGCCAACTCCACTGGATACGAATTATATGCAGTGTATCCATATGAGGGGATGAAATATCTTGGCTCGGTGTAGGTTTTCCCTTGAATCCACTCGTCTTTCTCCTCTGGATATTTATAAGCCGAGTCACGATTATTAAAGGGTGAAAAATACTCTCTTCTAGAAACATCGTAGCCCTCGTGAAAATCATTTTCCAAAATTACTGGTGAGTTGCTAATCTCTAAAGTCCTATCCGAATTTTTGTCCTCTTTTTCTGAAAAAAGTTTGTGTGTCTTTGAGGTAGGTGGTGAAATATCCATGTTGGTACTCTCTCTTGTGCTTTTATCTACGCTCTCCGATAATAATTCCTCCTGTTTTGAATCAATTGTTCTGTTCAACTCAACCATTTCCTTTACATTCTTATCTACTTTTAGTTCAGTTGATTTATTTCTGTTTGAAGTTCTCGTAGATTTCATAACCTCAACAGATTTTTCTTTGTTTTTCCCGTCTTTGGGTTCTAAGTAGTCCTCAGTTGAAACAGAAGTCACTCTTTCCCTATTGCGTTTATCACCAGACGAGATCGACTTGCTTCTAGCTCCACTAGTGTTTTTACGGTAACCTGGCCTATGCCTTGCATGTATTTTCCTTCCCATAGACTTAGGATTCAATGGATGAGAGTTACTAATTTTTTCCTTGACAGGAAACTGAAAAGTAGTGTGATTCATTATTGCCACCACAGGATTCTTTGTAACTCCACAAATGTTGCCTTTCCAGGCCATTTTGATGTAACCATCAATTCCCCAGGTCTTGGACCACGAGTTTTTTACCAACCAATAAGGAACTCCATTCTCTTTTCCATAACCAACCACCAGAACCGTGTGAAGTGTAGAGCTGTTATCTGAAGCGCAAATCGACAAAGAAAAGTAAGATTTCATGGATAACGTGCCCTGCTGGTATATGAGAGCTACGACTTATGGAACGCGAAGATCTTCCGACTTCTATGCACCAATCACAAAAAGCGCACGAACACCCGAACCCTTCCACTCTACTTTATCATTCCAAATAGCATGCGATTTGTTGCCGACGTGCAAAACAAAAATGACGCTCGATATGAGACTAATTATGGTTGTCTGCAAGAAAGAGCAAGAGTTAGGAAACAAATACAGCAGGAACTTACCACACTCGGGGTTATCGTAGACTCCCCAGCTGTAAAACTTCAGAGAAAGGGGCTTTTGATTGATGGACACACAGACAGGACCATACTTGGCAATGGCTCTTTTGAGTGCACTGTTATTGTACTTAGGGATAAAGGCAAAGGCGTTGATTTTGATCCTTTCTCTGAGTCCAATCGTCTCGCACGTTCCTTCCTATAATTAACAATATAAAGTCCCCTAGCAGTTGAAATTTTTTGTCATTTCATAAATGACTGAAGCTCTGTGATTGATTTAGGTGACTCCTTTTGGCTATAAGTAGTAATCCTTAGTTTGGATTTGTTTTTACAATACTAAAGCGAAATGCGCAAAAACAAGCGAATGAAGCCGTTACCTGAGCTAAGTAAGGCCCGTAATTCTCTGCCTTCGCTACTCCATGCAGATAAATCCAACTGAGTGCTTTGTTATACCAGCCTCCCCTGCAGCCGTGGTTCCCAGACCCCCAGGAGCAATCAACTATCTGCTGTGCAGACAGTTCAAGAAGTCGACCTGTCTAAGAACAACCGCAAAACAAAAGGTTAGGCGGTATGATTGATATGAAGAACAAAAGACAAGGGCAAAATTAATTCGGCTGGGTGACTCATACTTTCAGGAAATATGCTCCCTCCACGGTTCCCACGGCTCCTAAGGCGTAACACGAACCACAGATCCCTTGGCCCCGAACTGGTGTTACTGCACCTGAAAACAAATCATTAACAAATTGAGTTTGTTTCGTTATGTATGCCAAGGTCATGTCTGCATTTAGTGACCACCTCTGTTTGGGCATGAGTGTGCGAACCAAAATAGAACGGAACCAAACAAAAAAAATGGAACAGTCCTAAATTAGACGAATCCTCGGAAATCTGACCATAGTCCCAATACTTGTAAAGCACTAGTTTGAGATGCAAATATGCAAGCATCTTGACAAAGGGACTAAGAACTTTAGAATGGATCATCTCCTACCGAAATCTCTCCAGTCCAACTCATCTGGAATCTCAGTAGCCTTTGGTGCCGACGTCATCCTATTATGGGCTTCATGTTCTTCCAAATGAACGCCTCCCTCATGTTTAGTACTATTATCTTCGTTGGCCCCTGTAAATCACCGAGAGAAAATCGAAGTAAACATCATTGATGACCTTTATACTCCACAATCACAAGTGGAGAACCTCTTGATTACATTTCATTACATTTGTCGTCATCCTGAGTTTACCAGATTTCAAATGAATGGGCATATCCTTGCGCATATCAGACTAATTTTGCACTTGATAGGAAGTCAGTCATCCTGAACACTTTGATCGTACTGCTCAAATCTGAATTGCATCAAACACTGTGCTGCATTTCGATCAAGGGAACCTGATTTAAACTTTACCTTTATATTAATTGAATATGTTAACTTAGTAACTTCAGTTTTTTTCTTTGATGTCTATTGTAATTGACTGATGTGTCGTGTCAATTATTTGTATGTGTCAGTGACCAACACGAAAGCCTCGGCTACTTTGGTCACTGAGCACATTTTATCTTGGCTGTGTATTGCAATATATTTTTTTTCTTGTTAATTGATGGAATTTTTTCCTTTTGTATACACTGTTGATGTTATAAATGTTGTAAATAGTACATAACAATAAACTGTATCTCTATCTGTATCTGTCATACGGAGGGCAGCGTGGCCGAGTGGTCAGCGTGTCGGACTCGCAATCCGTCGCTCCTGGGTTCGAGTCCCGCCCTGACCACGACCTGAATTTGTTTCACTGTGGCTCCGCGTTCAAATCCTCGGCCATGCTTGTAAATAGCCAATTGGTTTGCCTCCGGCCAGTTGGGATTCTTAACAATGTTATGTTCAATTTGAATTATTTGTTTATAGCCCACAATGTAAACTACTGGGTTACCAGTAATTGTGTTAGCTATTAAAGTTAATTTTTTCTTTTTCTTTTTTTTTTTTTCCATACCTCCATGCCCGTCGTATTCTTCCTCAGTAAGATCCACCAGGTGGTTGGGAGCCAGTTTGTAGGTAAGATTCTGTCGGTTTATTGATCTGATGTACCTACAGGAAATAAGATGATTTAATGAACACCTTCACAGTGTTGTCTCTGAGGATAGATAATAAGCAATGATCAAAATCTTGCACATTCCTGGATAAGGAAAGCAACAGTGGAGACAAACTACCTTTCACAACTATCACACCGCCATTCACACTTAAGAAAAAAAGATCACAGAGTGGGTATAAAACAGATGTCGCGCGGCAATCTGTGATTCAGTTGGTTTTGCTTTACTGCTCTTTGTGACTTATCCTAAAAACTTGTGCTACCCTTACTCTTACCTCATATTATGGCGGAAAATGCGCTTTCTCTTCACGTGTTCATGTTTGGAATCATGGACCTTGCCATGATGTTGATTGTAAATGTGGTACATCTCATCCACAAGGTCTTCTCCGTAAGACATAAACTCACCCATGGGATTTGATACAAAATGCGAGTCCACAGTGTGTGACCAGTTGTAGCACCACTGATCTGCAACAGAGTTGTACCCGTGAAAACAGGTACTTACGCATAGAGCTGAAATACTGTTTAAGGTCACGCTCTCACAAACCCACTAATCCATTCATAGTACTAAGTAAATGTGAAAACTGCTTCTCCGATAGAATATTGGTCATTTGAAGAATACCAGCCCCTTCCCCCACCCCCCATCCCAGCATTTCGCGAGGTTTTCCCTGTGCATCGCCGGTACTCATTAATAGGGACCTTAAGAAATCACGACGGCGACGGCAACGAGGACGTGGAAAAACCAGAGATCCGATTGGCAGAACAATAGCTCAGCACTTGCGTTTTTAAACTTTATACATTTCTTAGCTGTCCTATGCAAAACAACAACGTGAAATCGCCAAAATTTGCGTCGTCTGCGAACCGAAACCGCGACGGCAAATTATTTTGATTTCCATTTGAAACTCAACGGCTACTTTATACGTTATGCTGAAGT